AAAAAAATATAATTTCTATTTTATTTAAATTAATTAATTAATTAAAAGTTTTAATAGATATTATTAAATTATAAAAATAAACAGGACTTTAATATTGTTATTAAAATTAATAAGAGCAAAAGATAATGAAATATAAAAAAGAATTAAAAAAATGAAGACATGTGAGGGAGAGAGGAGGGAAAGGAAGAGAGGGGGAGGGAGAGAAATAAAAGGAGAAAGACAAAGAGAGAGAGGAAAAGAGAGGGAGTGAGAGTGAAAGAGAGAGAGAGAAATAGAAAGGAAGAGGGAGAGAAAAAGAAAAAGAGAAAAGGAGAGAAGGAGAAAGAGAGAGAGAGGGAGAAGGGGAGTGAGATAGAGGGATAAAAAAATAAAGCAAAAATAATTTTTTTGTTTTAAAAAAGGAAATTATAATCTTTTTATATATATTAAATTTTCTTCTTAATTAAAAAATTAGATTCTCAACTCTCATGAAAATATTTTTATGAAAAAAATAGAATAAAAATATTTTTAAAAAATTATATTTTATTTTTTAAAATAACTACTAAATATAAAAAATTAAAATTTTCACTAAAAGATTTCTAAGAATATAAAAATATATTTTACATTCCAAAGATCCCTTAAATAATTATGCTTAGGTAATAAATACATAGGTAATAAATACTACTACTATACTATTTCACACTCTTTATGGTTATCTAAAATTTAATATTTTTTTGCAGCAAAAATTTAATATTTATGGAAAATCACATAGTTTAATAAAGTTTACGTGTTATTAAGTCTCATTACAGGTTTTAATACATTTTAATTTGAAACAAAAGATATGCTTAAAAAAATTGTCAAAAATGTATTTTCAATGTATTATATTTAAAGTAAATGTCGATAATATATATATCTATATTAACAAAGTAAAATTTTAATTCTAATTAAAATATAATATCAATAAAATTCTAATTAAAAATAACATTAATATTTATAATATTGTACCTAAAAACAATAATCATTGAGATTTAATCATAGGGCTCGATTATTTTATGGAATACGGGACAATACAGCAGATCCATGGAATTTTCATGTGTAGAAGGAAACCCCAATACGAAATTCAAAATCAGAAAAAAAAAGGATTAAAAAAAAGAAAAAAAGAAAAAAAGAATCATCTCCTGCACCTGGTAATGGCGGTGCAGCCACGATCGTAAGGGTTGGCCTCTGCGCCAGGCTGGCACTGATAGTAGGAGGCTCCGCGGAGAGAGCACGGCACACTGTCCCTCTTCATGGCATCGTAGCTCAAGTACTTGGTGGTGTCTAACATGCGCCGGTTCACCTCGCTGTCCAGACCGAACTCTTCTTCCATGGAGGGCATCCACGTCATTTCCATCCCCGCTCCTGCTTCTGCTGTCAGAACCCAATGCGTCGTCGTCGCACAAATCAAGAGAAAGAGCATCAGATACGACTTCGCCATCGCAATAAACCTTCCGACTCGGTTCCCACCTTGCTTTTGCGTCCTCACCGACCCACGCGTTTTTATAAGCTATGCCTCCAACTGTGGCACTCCCATTTCCTTTATTTACATTCCTGCCATTTAATTAAGGATTACCATTTTTACCAAATTAATATTTAAAAAATTACCTTTTTTATTCAAATAATTTTGAAACCAGTTTAGGATACTTCTGAATACGTCGGATCTGACTTGAGAGAAAGAGAGTGGGCTTAGACAATAAAGAACTGTAGAAATTGATTTATTTAGAATTTTTATTTTATTTTTATGAAAATATTACTACTTTTGTCTACGATTATAAGATCATTTTAACTAAATCGTAATTTTAAGAAAATTATTTTATTTAATTAATAATATTAAATGTATTAATGATTTAAATTATTTTTCAAAATTAACCGTCTCTTTTTTACTTAATTAATTGATATGTTTATATGTTTGTTTATCTTCTCTAATTTTAATAATAAAGAAAAATTTTCTTTAATTAATTTTAGATATTATTATCATTTATTTAAAAGAATTATTAATTAAATAAAAATATTTTGAAAATATATAATTAATATAACTCACCATTTGAAGAGTTTCTAACGACTTATTATATATACAAAGACGGAAGTAGTAAAAGGAAAATATCTTGCTGTGATTCTTTTGCACACTAATTGTGAAAAATAAGAATTTACCAATTTAGGATAATTTTGAACACGTGGAGTCTGACTAGGAAGAAAGAGTGACGTGTTAGGCAAGAAATACCTATGAAAAATGTGTCATATATATATTGAAGAATATTGAAAAGAAAACACACCGCCATTCGTTTGCAAACATACACTAAATAGTATATATTTATATTTATATTATTTTAATCATTTACATTTAAATATCTGATTGTGGGTAGAAGAATTCATTAAATGGAAATTTTATTATATATAAATAAACAAGTATACCAATTACTATTTAATATCGTACATTTTTATTAATTATTGTTGATTTAATTAAATTATTATTAATTATTGTTGATTTAATTAAATTATTATGTTGTTATGAATTGTTGAGAAATTCTTAGAACTTAGGAATTTTTTGGGAAAAGGTTTAGTTTGGCCTAAAATAGAAGGTATATACGGTTACTTTTAAGTGCTTTAGAATTTGATTTTTGTAACGACCTGTCATGGTCTCTATATTTAGTGAAATCGCATTACTGCTAGTAAAATTAAGAGAAATATTAAGCTGGATAACTCATACATACATGTACAAATAAAAATGAAATAACTAAGTTTCTGGTTATAAAATAGAACTCCATATATGTACAGTCATCCCAAAAATGATATTCCCTAGTGCTGGTAAGCACAAACAAAATCGTTACCCAAAATGATAACTCTAACACGAGGATCAGAACTCTCCGTCTCGCAGCGGACACCTTAACTCCAAGCTAGCCTTGACCTGCTCCCATACCAAGTATGATCATCGCAGTTCCACCACATGGAAACAGAAGGGTAAGCTAGAGTTCAAAATCAATCATACAAATACAGAATAAAATCTATACTACACATCATCCAACTATCAATCATATTCATAGAGTCACACCATACACTCTATCCAATATTACTCATGCATAAAATATAATCCACCAATCATGAAGTCAAACACCACACTTCATCATATTAATAATCATGCAATAAATGCATCTCATGACAGATATCAATGCATATCAATCATCTAATGCGTCGTCACGCATACACCTAGGAGATCTCCATAACAATAGAGTTGTATAAGTGACATTCCATCCTACCGAAACCACCCCAACCGTTTTCACGCCCAATGCGCCCGCTCGGTCACAGCTAAACAGGATATAATCCTCACTCGGGTTTACTCGGATGATGTCACTTACACAATTGGAAGTCCAGATCCACCGTCAGGTATAGCACAGCTGGGTACGGGCTTACCACGACCTTGGCATGGAATAACCAAGTCAATTGTGGAGTTCGCCCACCGACTATCCGCAAGGATCCACGCACCTTCCCGAGTACTTGGTTAAGGGAATAACCCTCGACCTCATACCCCGCTCCAACACTAGCTAAGGACTTAGAGGAGACTCACCCAACCCAGTGGCCTATCTGAGCACCACTCTCCCAAATCCAGTGGCCTCCCTGAGCACCACTCTCATATATCAGTGGCCTATCCAAGCACCACTCTCAAGAGACTCTATGTGAGCTCTTCCAGTTCGAAAATATTTTTCCTCTCCTCAAGTCCTAGGCTAGACTCATGCCATAAGGCATCACATGCAATTATGCATCATACATCATACATGGTCTGCCCACCATCATGATCAACAATCATACACATGTCATAAGACATCACATGCAATAATGCATCATACATCATACATGGTCTACCCACTATTATGATCAATAATCATACACATATGAACATATACTCATGCCATATCATATTTAAACATTCATATATATCATCACTATGCATACATATGAATCACACCTCACCATACATCATATATCATACATACATGATCCAAAACTTTAACTTAACATGCATAAGCATCAATTTAAAATCAATTATTTATAAACATATTCACGCGCAGTGCAGTCAGCTCGCGCCTGGCCTAACACCAACCCAAGAGCTCTAAGCTCTTCCACGCCCGGTGCGCTCAACCTGCGCCCTGCCTAATCACAGTCAGAAAGTTTCAAAACACTTATCCAAACCAACAAATCCAGCCACATGCAAACACAAAACACAATGCATAGGCTCCATACAACTCAAAATAAACTTAAATCTCACATGCATCCAACCTATGCATCAAAAATCATCAAAATCTTCCTTTTTCTCAAAACCCCAAAAAATGAGATTTTCTTCAATCCATCTATGGATTCTCAACATTCATGCATCAATTGAGTTTCTAAACTCACATGCAACCTAAACAAAAAATATTCTAGCTTCCCTCACTTGAAGATTGGCTCAAAATAGCCAATAACTAAGAAGAAGTAGAATTCCCTTCCGAAGCTCAACCCGGAACTTCAATCCTCCCAAAGTAAGCTTCCTAATCTGAATTTCAAGAAAAGACAGAAGGCATTAGTGATCTAGAGGAGAAAAGGAATCATACAGAGAAATTCGGGAGAGAAAGGAGCTCACAGACCCAGAGTCCTTCTCTCTAAAACTTCTCTCTAAAAACCTCATTATTTTTCTCCTTCTTTTAACCTTTTTAAGTGTTCATTCACATCTATCCATCCCTTAAGAGGGACTTGAGAGTTGAGGTGATTCAAAACTCAGAAAGTTGAGGATCAGGTGGTGGTGGTCGTTTCGTGAGGAACTCCTAAAGCATAGTTCTTCTTCTTCTTCCTTGTTTCTCTTCAATTTAAAGGTAAAGGAAGCTAACATCTTATTTCTTGTTAATTGTTGAAGTTGAATGTTGTTTGAATTCATTAAAGCTTTTGGTTGTATTGTTAAACTTTGAGAAGGAATTGGTGCATGGTGACTTTCGATGTTTTGAAGTATGTTAGTGTGAATTTAATGTTGTTGATTAAAATGTGGTTGCATGTTGTAATTTTGGTTAGCTGATGGAGTTATTTTATAGTATTTGTCTGAAGGGATATTTTATGAGGGTTGTTTTTTTTTATAATGTTATTACACAAACATACTTCACAATGATGAAATATTGTCCGTTTTGGGCCTTAGCCCACACGGTTTTGCTTTTGGTCATTACCCAAAAGGCCTCTTTATCATTGAAGTATGTTTGTGCTATATAAGTTGTTATTTCTTGTTTTATTTTATCGATGTGGGACGTGTTTGTATCCCAACAATCCGCTCCGCAAACAAGGGACCTAACCTTTCATGCAGTGGAATCTATATCTTTATATATCACATTATATGTTATGAGTTATGAGGGGTTATAAGGGTTATTGGTTGTCACCGTATTCAACCTACGACTCTGATACCACTTGTTGGGTTATTTCATAGTATTTGTTTGAGAGGATATTTTATAAGAGTTATTTTTTATCAGAGGAGCATGATATAATTTTATTCATGAGTCTCTATTTATAAAGAAAATTTGTTATACAAAATCAAATATTAATATTATCCTATTCTAAAATAAAGAAACAAATCTTAAAATAATCAAAACAGATTAAATCTAAGAAATATAAATAAAATATTCTTATCAAAAACTAATTTATTTTCCTAAAGATATTTAGGCATATTCCCAACAGGATTTGAGGTGCATATGTTGTATATGAAAGAATTAGAGGAATGCATGCTTGATTTATCTAGTTTCCAAGTGATGAAAGCAAAATTTGTTATTCTACAAAGTGCAAAATCACCATCACACCAGATGTAGCTTCAAGGTACCAGACTTCATCGGGATGGAATTGGTAGCAATAGGCGTGAGCTCTAGAGAGTAGCTTTCTGACTTGGTCATGTTGAAAATGGGTTGATGACGTTGGACATGGATATCCTTTGAATTTTCTAACTTAATGACATGGAGCTTAAGCTAAGTGACGCCAAAATTTTGAAGTTAATACACACTTAGAGTAATTATACAAAATTGCACTATCTCTTGCTTTTTCTCTTTTAAATGTTTGCATTGCAGTACGAGGTTCATTTTACAATGTTTTTAAATAATTAACAAAATTAATATAATGTTTAAAAGTGTGTTAGTGTAATATTTTACAAGTTAATGAATAATAATTGTAGAAATAAGAAAAGAAAAGGATATTTGTGGAATCTCACGAAACCTTAGTCACGGAAGTTTGGTTAGAAACTTTTCTATAAATATTTATTAAGAAAGTTAATTTTATATTTTATAACAAGTTATTAAGTATTAAAAATATAAAAGTTTAATACCACATTTTATCCATCTATATTTAATTTTAATGTTTAATAATGAATAAAATTTAATATAATTAAATACATAAAATAAAATAAAATGATAAATGAGTAATGGGGAAAGATATTCATATTAATTTATTAACATATACTAAAATATTAAATAATTTTAAATTATATTCAAATTCATTTAA